TTCCGAAAATTGGGGGGGGGGGGGGGGTTACCTTGTTTTTGGGTCCTTATTATCGGGATCCTACTATTCGGGTTTTAGGGTTTGTTGGGGGAAGTTGTTACCATGGCTGGGCTCATGGACGTTGTTGAACCCAGAGGCCTGTCTAAGGCTGATTTATGACTGTATAGCAGTGCGTGTCTACACTCAACTTGGATGAACAATTACAGAAGTATGTAAGTCAGCTAGTCTGCGACTCTTCGTTCGCCACTTGCTGAAGCTTCAAAATTCAACAATGGACACTTAGCAGCCTTACTTTCCCGGTGTATTTGTTTAAAGCTACCTCCCAGATCCTTGTTCTACTTATTACCGCGCCTATGTTGTCCAGTTGTACCGTTAGATGCGTCGTCCTACTGCCAACACTGCTACCCGTTTTAGGGTTTAGGGTTTGGGGGACACCAATCCGCAACTTCTAGCGCGACATCGAACTTCTAGCACGACATCAAACTTCAAGCAAACACACATTTCCGACAGCGCAGCCCGGAGGAGAAGCCTGCACAAATGTGGATATACAGACGAAATATGTGTATATAAGTATAGATATGTATATATATATATATATATATACATATATACATATACATATACACATGCACATACACACGCATATTGTAGATGTGTACACACACACACACATGACGCAAGCAGGTACTTGTCCATGATTGCCTCCGTGTACTGGACCATTGACATCGGCCTGTCCTTCGTCACGGGCTACTATCAAAAGGCATGATGACGGTTTCGAATTTAGGGGGCTACCTATGGTCTCCATTGTAGTTCCTTTTTTGGGTTAACCAACTCTATTTTGGGTCCTAACCATAAAACTGGTTAACCCCCAAAACGGAACTACAATGGAGACTACAGGTGGGTTTTGGGGTGTTGGTGCATTATGCATACCAGTCGGATTGTCGTTCAGGGTGTGCAGTGGTCAAGTCGGAGGATGGTAGTGTCTGCAACGTCTCGGCTGTGAAGTCCGCCAGGGGGTACGTCAGGCAATCGAAGTTGGATGCCCGCTAGGAAGGCCCCCTTTGTTGTAGGGTTTAGGTTCTCTTATAACCCCCTTTAACCCAAAATGGGCACCTTTTTTGTTCCTGGGTTACTCTAGGGTCTAATCAACAAGGCAGATGGTCAGATCATCAATGTTGGGTTGAGTTGCATGGCTGCCTTAGCATGCATCACTATCACGTTGTAGCATTGGTCTTACCAGGGTGAAATCCTGTACTTCTGCCCTCCATATGTGTTCATCAAGCTGTCGTGTTTTATAAACCGCAATCTCGTTCTACGGGACAATCTCAAGGTCGTATTCGTGTTTTGAGCTTGTAAGTAACCGGAACCGCCCGAGTAGTGCGTTCTCCTGAACCGTCATAGGATGGTTGAAGGGGGACCAGCGTTGCGGTGACCGTTGCGAGGTTTTGTTTGGAGTTGTTTGCACTGCGAAGCTACCTTTTGCAAGCCACAGCTCAAACCTCTCAAGCCACGAACCGGCACCAGTCACACCCTAAAGTACAAACTACCTAGACCCTCCATCTACCCTCCATTAGACCCTAAGTACCCACTACCCATATTTGAGGGTACAAGGAGGGTCCTGGTAGTTGGGCGACTTTGGAATAGCCAGGGCATCTTCCTTCCGTGCCACGCATCCTTGCTGCTTGTACACCCTGGGATAGAAGCATAATACAGGGGCTTTAATAATTACCTATTCTACTATTTTGGGGGGGTTCCTCTTTATACAGTATGGTGGGCATAATGGGCCCTTTAAACCCTATTCTAAGAATTAAGATCCCTGTGTTACGCGAAACCGGGGCCCTGCGTGTCTTCCAGGGAACTCTCGTTTCCAGCGTGGAGAAAATTTCCTGGACCTACTTGAAGTCGTGGTTTCTGACTCTTGGCTTCCATCCCAAGAAGCTGCCTCAACCATGTTCGAGGGTTCAGTGCGTTTGCCTTTGATTGGTAATGTAGGAGCCGGAGCTCATTCTGCCTTGATCCTTTTTGCAGAGGTTTGGAGTGGGGGATGCTAGTGGCAATTGAAGATTGCAGCCCAAAAAGAAGCTAATGCCCCAAACCCCACACAGACACGATTTCCTGCAACCTTGCATAACCCATAACTCGTAAATAAGCGGTGTGAGCGCTTCCTAGCCCCCCCCCCGGATACTTACATAGACTTAGTCGACAATTCACCTCAGACCTAAGATTTATGTAAGCATTGCGCGCCAGATAATAGTCTTGACGAACGTTTCACTCCGGACCTTGTATCTATATAAGCATTGCATGCCAAATCCCAAGCCCTACATCCTCAGCCTTAGTTCCCTTCAGGCCGCAACCGCTTCAGGATTCCACAGGCCAGAGCGCTGACAATATGACGAAGCCATCGATCAGGGACCTTAAACCAAATCTTCGCTTTAGCATTGACGATTTAGGTAACCTGAATGGTCATTGGGGTTAGTCAGCGATGGTGCTAGACCTACAGACGTTAGGTTTATGCATGTTTCTACGCTTGAGAAAGGTTCAAAGATTGGTGTCGATAGTGCAAACGACTGGGAGTTTAGGATTCGTACCGCCTCGGGTCAGTCTGAAGCGCAGCATCGCAAGGATTGACCTGTTCGTGACAACCCTGGACGTCAGCCTCGAATTTGGGGCAGACTTTGGTGAGGCAGCCACCTGGCACGAACCTCTGAAGAGCTTAAAGGTCTATGTATTTAAAAAGTCCATATACTTGGGCCTTGAATACAGGTACTTTGAGGCCAAAGTATATACTATTGGGGGTACTGTACATGGACCATTTGGGAGCAGCCTACACCACACAGATCCTGCACTGTAGCTCTTTTATTATCTCTTGCTTTAGAATCCCTTGCGAATCATAAAGCAAGTTGCCCAAGAGGAAGCACTATGAGTTAAGTCACGGTTTAGGCATGCTTCGCATCCAGAATGCTTTGCCGAAGCGAAGCCCAAATTTTGTCTGATATGGGTGGCATCAACGGCCAGGGCTGTAAACTGTAAAGCCTGTCCTTGCCCTAGTTTTTTCGCACTTGGATGTAGCTTCTGCTGGCTGTGCTGGCGGTTTAACGTGGGGCTAGCGACCTTTGCCAATCCAACTGCCTGTCCTAAAGACAAGCCAAGACTCACTATGTTGAGCGTCGGTGTTCTCGGTTTTGCTTCTCATTCTGTTCCACCACAAATCTTGGAACCCGCAGCTGGTCTCTAAACCTTAAACCCGCAACCCTGAAACCGTTTACCCACAACCCTGCATCTCGCAAGCCCGTCCGTTTTAGGGTTCCCTATCATGGTTTCCTTATACAAGTCTTTAAAGAGGTAGGATATTCAGGGTTAAGGTAAACCCCGAGCCCTAAACCCACCCGTTGGAACTTGATCAGCTCAGTTTGTGTTCTTCCGCTTCTTGCGCTTCCTGCGCTTTGTTCGCCTTCTTCGCATGGGCAAGTTTAGCCAGATCTCTATCTTCTTCCAGGACCTCCTGCAATACAGAGGTTTTACCACTGGACACTGGAATAGGGTTTTGGCGATACAGCTTGTATATTCGACCTGTTATGACTTTATTTAGTTGCTGCAAAGAAAATATTGCCAACAGTTCCGAGCCCTGTGCTAAACCCTAAACCCTAAACCGCTGTACTACGGCAGGGCTACCGAGCGAAGATCCGCCCGGTCCTCTCAACCGTTAGTCGCAACAGGAAGAAGCAGCACTGCACGTCGAACTTACGTAGTTACCGTTCGGTTTTGTGCGTCTGCCACTTACGCACTGACTTATCAAAGTCACCACCACTAGTAGTAGTTGTTGCCAGTAACTGCCAGTACTGCTAGAACAAGATTCGAGCACTTCGACTCCAAGATTGAATCGCAGCACTAGTGCTGCTACCGTCTTCAGGGTTTAAGTTCAAGGTGCAACGTTGTCCATAATTACGCCCACTTCGCCAGCGATAGCGAACTCTAGCTGCTAGTCACTACACGAGCGGCTTGTATTATCTTGGTCCGTACTGTATGCCAGAGAATACACCACGGTATCTCCTGCTGGCCAAGCTAGACTCCTAGCAACCTAGCTATGCCCTGTGATTCGCTCTTTGTTGGCGCTATCGCGGCACCAAGCCCATTCAACCTGAAACGGCTACTACCGTCGCATGCCGTAACCCAAAGGGTTCAAGTAACAGTATAGTATATACTGCGAGGGCCGATTAAGAATCTGCTATATTGGTGCTTGGACCCTTTGGGTAAATCCCTATTTGGAGCCCAAAGCTACTACTTTCCTATTCCCTTCAGCCAAGACCCCTGCTGAGCTTGCTGCAGGATCAGTTTGAGTCACCAACGGCCTCGTTGGAATTCAGCCTCCTCGTGCTCGGGATGCATGACTTAGGATTTCCATTGGCGACGGTGACGATGCCACAGGGGCTGTATGGTTAGTACTTGTAGAAACATACGGTGATGGTGACGAAGGTGTTGATTGTTCTGATGGCGACTTGCGTGATGGTACATAGTCTCTTAAGTGTTTCCGATACTGCTTCATTCTCATGGTGACATTCTTGTTGTCAGTCTTACTGTCGGTAGTGGTGGTGTGATCATCGGAGCCGTGGTTGTTGCGAGGGAGGCCGGGCTGATCTTGACTTATCCTTTCCTGGCTACCTATAACTCCTTCGTTCTATACACTATGGGCCCAGATATCCCTTAACCACTGCATCGGTACTTGGAGCCTTTTGGGTCAAAGCCCTGAGCTTCCAGTCCATCGTTACGGGTCCCTAACTGAGCAGCTGAGTAGGTGCACTTTAGCTTTTTCGGGATGGTATCATAATATGATCTCCTTTCTCGGTATTGTATCGGAATACTACTATCCCCTGTAAAACTGAAAGTTTAGACACTTGGGCTGAAGATTTCGGCAACGAGGCAAAAATTGCACCATGCAGGGTTTGACTTGACCTTTGCCCTCCACGGCGACATTTTCGTTTGGCCTGACAACCAAGGTCGTGATGATTGTCATGATGTTGCTGGAGCACGTGATTGCATGTTTCTGGTTTGGGCTCGGCAGAATGGAGTCCTCATCGGGCACATGGCTCACACATTCGGCAGTCGCTGACGGCTCCTTCGCGAATCAGTCAACTTGGCAGCATGTTAAGGGCTCAGACGGTCATGGCTTTTCGTGTGAGACTACGTCAAGTCGCCTGATACACTTGGAGGTTCATGGGTAGTACTAAGTAGGGTTATAAGTAGGGTGACTATACTTATAACCCACAATCGGGGACTTATAGCCTCAGTTACAACTACCCATGAACCTCCAAGTAGGCCCTAAACCCTATACCCTAACAGAATCCCATAGATCCCTTTAAAGGGGGCCCTTAAAGGAACCCTTATAACTACCCATGAGCCTCCAATCAGGTATACTTACAGCCTTCGTTGGGCACTGGGACAGCTGGGTATTGGATCCACCGAGATTGAGGCTCTCACGGAGCTTCGCCACAGAAAGAAAAAGCTTTCTATAAGGGTTCGTCAAAAGGGGTTCTTTATGGAAATTTCCGAAACTTAGGGGTACTTTATTTGGGGTTCCTTAAAATGAGGATCCTACTATTTAGTGTACTATTATTGCAATTAGGGTACCCTTTTTTCGGAAACTTCCATATGAGGGTGCCTTAGGTTTCTCGAGGTTGGCATTGACCAGGTTCTCTCCTCTGTGACATACTTTTGCAGAGGACTTCGTGAGACAGTATCTACGGCACAGCTTGGATGTATTCTGTATATCCATGTATGACTCTGCGTTAAGAATGAGGGTTCGATGTAAGGATGCTGTAAGGCTCTAGTTTTTAGGCTTGGTAGTAGTGTAACTACGAGCAAGATTCTTCTGAGGGTGTGTTCTAGGGTATTCTTGTAGCTTATCAACTCTCTGGGCCGATGTACCTCGACAGTGGTTCCTGCAAGTGTTCCTTATGAGGTTTCGGGTTGAGGGGCTCCTTTAAATGGTTCCTTTGCAGAGTTCTCTACGGGGTTATACGGGTTTGGGGGTTCCTTGCACGTGTTTCGTAGGTTTCGAAGATAATCCCTAAGGGTCCAAGTACCCCTTACTATAGGACTTTGGGGCCTTTTGGTGTACCAAAAGCCCATAAATAAGGACTACTTGGACCCTTAGGGAATGGGGTGGCGCAGGGTTTAGTTTAGCAGGTACGCAGTGCAAGGGTACATGGACCCTTAGCTGCTAAGCTAGGTTCTTAGTAACTCTTTGGGCTCCTCTCTACCAGTATATACAAAACCTATCGTCTCCTTAGGCTTTTAGTTTTTGTTCATATAAAACCCCAGAGACTATCAAAACTGTTGTTGTTAGTATGGTTCTAGAGGGGGTATAGAAACTGGTACTTGGACCCGGGCCCCTTTTATACTCATAATCCTCCGGCATGCTTAGTATTAGCATTTATATACCTGAGGGATCCTCAGTCTAACTATATGATGGTGGTTGAGGACACTTGGTCTCTGAGAAAGGGCTTCAAGTCGTTGCGGACACTAGAGTCCACAGGCAGAATCCTGCGGCCCGAAAGCGAAAGCCAGAATCACCACACCGACAAACCAAGGCCAGGAGAGCCTACCTTGAACTGCCGAAGCCTACTTTTCTGTTGGTTTCCTTTTTGGTTCTTCACATAGAAGTTGCCGGGACCCTGCGAAACGAGGTCGTGGTATTTCAAGGCAAACCCTGGGCGTGTGACTGAACCTCAGGAAGCGGAAGGCTACTACTCTATCGCCGTGGCCTTTGTGTCCATCATCATCTTTGCCACCGTGTCGCCCCGCTGCATTTTGGTGAGAGATTGAAGCTCACAGAGCTAGGGCCTCTGGCTATAGTCTCCATTGTAGTTCCTTTTGGGGGGGGTTGCCGTATAGGATCCCAATTATCTACTTAGTTAAACCAAAAAAGGAACTGCAATTGGAGACTATAGGTAACCCTTCTAGAAACTTTTTAGTAACCCTTATGGTATACCCTTACATACAGGAACCTTATACTACCCCTTATGGTAGCCCTGAAAGGTTCCTTTAGGTAGTTTTCAGCACCTGGATAGTTCCGAATACTGATCCTTCTAGTTACTGAATATGGACGTAGTAAAGCAAAACCTACCTCCAAGAGGAAGACCCTGATATGATTGGGTTTTGGTGGTTGATGGTTTGGCGTGTAGGGATTATTGTTCATAGGAGTCAGATTTTAGACTAGCTGGAATGTGAGGTTCGCATGTCGGTGTCAACCTCAGACGCTCCTGTTCTTATTCTCTGGGTGCATGCGTACGTACATACATACGTACATAAGTACATGCAAACAAACATACATACAGACGTATACATACATACATACATACATACATACACACAGACATGCACACATGCACACATGCATACACATACATGTCATGTGTACACATTCCATTCATGCAGCTTTGTCCCTCCCCAATACGGTAATTCTGTATTATGAGCACAACGTACATTAATTAAAAACGCCAACATCACCTAAGCCCCACTGCCTTAGTCTTGACCGTAAACCTGGCTGTGGCTGACTCCATCTTTCTCTCACCGGACTAGTCCTCTGCAACGGGTCCTAGGTACCTATATAGCAGGAAGTAGGCTTCCATAACCGGAAGTGATGTATTGGGTAAGCATCCCCCATATAGGTACATGGGACCCTTTGGGATCAAGAAGCGAGGAAGCCCCTAAAGCATTACATATCATGGTTTGGTACTACTGTGTGTGTGTGTTGAAGCATCTGTATGGTTTCAGAATGGTGTTTGCGTGGTTTGTCGGAGCTGCTGCAAGTGGTTGTATGGTCTCAGTACCAACTAAGGAAAACCAACATCTTTAAATTCTTATTTGTAGGGATGTTATCTACCACCACAAGTCATTACCAATTCAGAACCCGCCCTAGGACACCGGATAGACCTATTTTCGAGCAGGTAACCTTTAACCTTTTTGGGTAGTACAGTCCCAATGTAATCGCGATATCCCAAAAAGTTAAGCTTTAGTTCCCCGTGATGCCCGACAAGTACGTAGACCCTAAACCCTAAACCCCTACTAGGAATTCTAACTGTTCTGCAGTTCGAAAAGGGCCCCTAAAAAAAAAAAACAAACCTTATCGAGCCGGGCCGCTGGGCCCCAGAGCCTTGAAACTTGTCAGGAGTTTGGATGTGCTGGAAGCCACGGAACCACCAAAAATTGAATCTACAGACACTTCGGGGAACCCTTAACCCTGTAAGCCCCTATAAACCCTAAACCCATAACCCTGTAAGCCTGTAAGCCCCTAAACCCTTAACCCTGTAAGCCCCTAAACCCTAAACCCTGCAAGCCCTTTTCTAGGCTTAGTTCCATGACTTCGCTGGTCTCTGCCCTACACAGCCGAAGGCCTGGCAATAGTGTGGTTGAATGTCGTCTTTTCTTAGGGCTCCTTATTATGATTTCCTTATATAAGTCCTCAAAAAGGTAGCTTCTTGCGATTTATTAAGGTTTCTAGGAGCTTTGGATTCGCGCTTTATAAGGCTTCAGGGCATCCCAGGCTCTAGATCGCGACTTATTACATTTCGACTCGGCATCTTTCTGCCTCTTCAACCGCCATTTCGAGAACCGGCAAATTGCAAGACACATTGTTCGATCAGGCTTCTGTAATGCATATACGGGTATTAAACCCTAAATACTAAACTTTACAGCTTACACGATTATTGGTGTTGCGAGGTTCCGCTTCAAACGCCAGTGCCCTGTCTCACCAGAGAAAGATCATCGACGTACGACTTATTAAACTACGGCGGCTTCCTGACTATCGTTTACAGCGGCTAAGGTCGAGAGTTCCAGGAATTCAGGGATTTTGTCACCTTAACAACAGTTTCCCCACACCCCCATGGATCTCTTAAACCCACGTCCGCAAACCGCACATGTCCCTACTAGAAAGGGCACCTTTCCCTTGTTCGGGCGGACGGAGGAGGGTAGCGGCAGTTGTTCTGTCGCACCGTGCTTTAGGGTTGTCGCGGGTTGAACTCCCGCAGAAATCGGGTCCGAGCAGCCGATCTTCAAGCCTGCATGGGAAGTAGGATTTAGGGTTTTGGCTGAGGCTTTTGGTTTTTGGGTTACTGTCAGGGCCCCGCAAACCAACGGAGTCTGTCCCCTCCCGACATATCTAGACCCGGAGACTCCAATATCCCTTAATTAAGGAATATACCTTAAATTATATTAAGGGTCCTACTATAATTTAAGGTATATTCCTTATAATTTTGGGATATTGGAGTCTCCGTGGATCCGCACTTGCCTACAAGACCAGACCCGACCCCCGGGCACCCAAGCGACCATCCGAAGCGACCATCCGAAGTTTACCTTCAAATCCCAAACATATACATGGGCCTTAAAGTAGTCCCCATATAGGTACTTGAGGGCCAAAGTATCTAGTATATGCCATAACCTACCAAGCCCTACTTTTTCGTGGGTTCTTATTATAAACCCTAGAATGAAATTTATAGGGACCCTACAAACAAGTAGGTTTTTGTAGCTTAAGGTATGTCTTGTTCATCGGCTTGGAAGCTGTGACTTTGTTGATCGGAATCGAGATCGCTTGGGGACTAGCATGCCGTCTCACGGCATTCAGCCTTTTCTTGAAGATGTGTCAGTGTTTGGTGGTCCCAATATCCACCCTAAACCCCATAAACCCTAAACCTGATAACCCTAAGCCCTAAAACCCTGATAACCCTAAACCCAGACCCTGATAGCCAACACCGTAAGACTTACCCGAAAATCAAACCCTAAAACGCTAAACCCTAAGCCCCTTATCCCTTCGACTAGACTTCACGATCCACCCCCCCCATCCCTAAACCCTAAACCGTAAACCCTAAACCCTAAACCCCAAACCCTAAACCTTAAACCGTGACAGGACGGAGGAGATGAGACAGTTCGGTCTGCTAAAGCGCTTCCTTCGTCAGAACCGAATTCCGAAAAGCTTGAGCCTCTTGGCTGTCTCCTTCTGACCACCAGCACCCCCCAAGTGCCCGCTAATAGAGCCCTTATGGTCCTTAATAGTGGGTATTTAGGGTATATTAGAGGGTAGTTGGGGGCGTATAGCAAAGTATAGTATAGTGTTAGAACAGTGTAGTACAGTGCAGGGCAGTGTAGTATCGCGTAGTATAGTGCATTGTAGTACGCTTTATTAAAACTTGTAATTTAGTAACGTCGTATAGTAGGCTTTTGCGAAGAGAACCCTAAACCCTAAACCCTAAGTTAAGCTGAACTCCGTGAAAGGCGAGGTGATGACATGGGAGTTTCCGAACATTAGGGGTACCTGATTTTGGGGTCCTTATAATAATGAGGATCCTACGTTTTAGGGTACTATATTAGGGTCCCCCATTTGCGGAATCCCCCCACATCAGTAATTATCGCCATCTGCCCGTATGCCTAAGTAGTCAGATACTGGATCACAGAATAACCTGCGTAGTTTCCTGCCATGTAGGTCCATGTAAACCGAGCCCTCATGAAGGCCTGCGGTATGCGTATTTGATGACCTCTTTGGTTGCGACTCCAGAGAGTCGTAGGGACCCTCAGTGGGGTAAGGGGGAGGGGGGTTAGGGGACAATTGCTTCCTTAAATAGGGCTTATTAGGTCCTTTTGATCGGCATTAAGGTCCCCTACCGCCCCTCCCCTACCCCCTCAAGGGTCCCTATGAGAGTCTCTGAGACCCTAGTCTCCGGCAGTCTCAGGATGCGAATGACGAGGGTCAGGATTTAGGGTGCGAAAGTCCCCGTGGAAGAGGAGGGTCAAACATACATACATTACGTTACATTATTACATTGCACTACACTAAATTAATCACATTATATATGCACGCATGTTGAGATTTTACAGATCGCAAGTAGTATCCTGTCACCCGTTCTTGATTTTTGGGGATTAGTTCTTACGAAGGCGGAGAAGTCCATTAGATTGCAAGTGGCAGTTTTAGGACCTGGGTGCTTGATGAGATATGCTATAACTTGAGACCCCGACAGCAAACTCGCCCTAGGGGTCCATGTGCCCAAATAGTATATACTTTGGCCTTAAAGTAGTCCCTATACAGGTACAGTGGGCTCAAAGTATGTACCATTTGGTTACATGGACCCACGGCCGCCGTGCTTTCCAGGGTCTTACCTGGCAGTTTGTCCCTGAATCCGACCCAGGCGACCGGATCATGCGATTCCTCCGGTCTGCCTACCATGAGAAGGCCATGAATGACCAGGACCTAGGGTTCAGGGTTTAGGGTCTATAGGGTTTAGGATTGGGGCTTGTGCGGTTCAGGGTTTCGAGGCGTATTGATGCTTATTTGTGTGTTTCGATGGGTCAATTTAACCGTTAGCCCTACCTATAGTTTCCATTGAAGTTCCTTTTCTTGTTGACCAAAAACTATGTTGTAGGATTCTACCCAACGGGGAGGGTTAAGCAAATCAGTTTGGAAGCTGAAAAGATGACAGTCATGTACTGGGCGTATTCTTGCATAGACATGCGTACGTGCATACAATCGTTCGTACTTACGTACATATAGAGTGCATGAGAATATGTTAACCCTGAACAACCATGGACATAAAAGACCTACACACACATATACATATATATATATATATATATACACTGGGGGACGTCTCGGCTGGATAGCTCTAGTGAGCTTGCAAGGCTTGCCTCAGAAGCAAAGTCGCACTTTCTTTTTGCACAGAATAGGTGAATAGGGCTAAGGGTTGAAGGTTAAATATGATACCATGTAACATATTATAGAATAATACAGAATTTTTACAATTTTGAACATTTGGCACTGGAGTCTAGTTTAATACAGCTTAAAGACCACGTTCAGGGTCTCTGGTCCACGGCCCAAGCCCTCCCCACCCTGAATGCGTCTTAGCATTGCTTGTGGCGCATTGTGTTTTCCCGGCCGTGCAGATCCAACCCGAACCTTAAGCGACAGCACCTGTGCTTCGTGAGGAAGCTTATTGGGGTGTAGGGTCTTGGGAATTTAAGTGTCGGAGATTCGCATCGGAGCCTATGTGCATCCAAGCGTGTGGATACCTCAAGCCTCTTTAGCCCCTTAGCCCTCATCTTCGTCCAGCCCCACAACCGGAAAACACAGCAGTAAAAGCCCACAGCCAAAAGTGGTGGTGATGCCGAGAGCCGTCGAAAAGTCGCAAACACAAGTGCTTGCATATTTTTTCCATGCTTACAGACCTGCAAAGTTTCATGAGCGGTAAGCCTGGAAAACTAAACAGCCGCCAGACACAAACGAACCTCAACCTGGCTCTAAACTTTAAGCCGCTGTGTAAACCCAAAACAACAAACCATGCTAAACACTGAGATTAGCCTTGTTAAAAATCGCAACCCCTAGATTAGCCCTATCAACCCTACCTGTCGGCTCATACCCTAACCCGCTTTGTTTAGGCTATCAAGTCTTTTTCTATGCAACAGACCCTAACCCATAAACTAGCTATCAAAGAAATGGGTAGGGTATGAGCCTCTACGGTACAGCCTCAACCTTCTTGGCGGTTCATGGGTAGTTATATTTAGGGTTATAAGTAAGGTAGCTCTACTTATAGCCCATATTAGGGGACTTATAACCCCACTTATAACTACACATGAACCTCCAAGTATGAGCCTCTACGGTACAGCCTCAAAGGAGCCTTTTCAACTATAAACCTTCAGCCTGATCTCGAAGTCCTTAGACCAGCTGACAAATCCTCATCCTACCTTAGGATTTAGGGATTTAGGGTTCAGGGTTAGTACATAGAGGTCGGAACGATCCCTCTTGTAGTCCATTTCATATCACACTATTTGGAGTTTGCGAAAACAGGGGACCCTAATATAGTACCCGAAATAGTACTTATAAGGACCCCTAAATAAGGTACCCCCTAATTTTCGGAAAGTCCCATATTGGACCTCCAACTTTGGAGGATGAGTTCAAAGGAGCCCTGAAGGAAGCAGGGTTTAGGGTTTTGCAGAAACACCAGTGCCACTATGAGTTGATCCGCGCCGCTCCACAGGGAATTGGCTACGAGTAGAAAACCCTTGAGTCATGTGATGTCCGAGCTGTAAAGATTTTAGAACGACATCACTACAAGCAAAGGAAACAGCTGTGACAACCTTGTACATTGAAGTCACACAGGCTTTGCATAGCGTTTGTCAACAGCACTGAAGGATCCAGCCGTTGCGAGTAAAAGTGCTAAATTCGAATTGCGGTGCGTCCATGGATGGTCATTTGTGTGCCTCTGGAGTGCTGCTTTGATACCCTGGGTCTCAGGGTTCAGTAGGTTATGAGCGCCCAAGATGCTCAGCAAGCTTCGCGAGATGATCGTCCAGGTGGGGCGACAGATGCCGGGACCTCTGGCCTGCTGAATGGAGTTCCGCAGGGCTCTGGAGGGACGGAGAATGCCAACCTTGCTGTGGAAGCTGGAGAGAGAGGAGGGAGCCAACAGGCTAATGGACCCTCTGTGCCGGTGGCAGGGTTTGAAGCGCAGTCCCAGCCGGGGACAGTGGAGCCCGCATCTACGCTGGAGCAGGGTGGGCGATCGAACGCCCATGCGATTCCTGATGTAGGCGGTAGACCAGCTCTGGCAACTGGGAATGCGTCGAGGCAGTCGGTTACATCAAATGATTTTCTCACGCCGCGATCGGTGGCAACAGTACAGGGCCAGCCTAACTGGCTCGGGTCACTCGAATGGCCCAGGTGGATGTCGAGGCTGGGATCCTATGTGGCTCCGGTGGCATCTGATTTGCTGCCTAGTCCACTGCCAAGCCAGCACACACCACCAGGTGGACATGCGTTTACCTTGCGGTCACCTGTGAGACAGAGGCCGCTCATGAGACCAACGACACCACCAAGCAGCTCCTCGATTCCGGCAGAGGCCATACAGCAAGAAGTACAACGGCAGCTTGGTGGGTTGTTAAGCAGGCTAGATGATGCCGAGTTCCGGAACGAGCAGCTGATGAGGGATCTACAAGCCGCGAGGGTTGAGGCAGAGGAAGCTATAGAACTCAAGTTCGTCAGCGAGAGCGGGTAGGGGATCAATATGAGGGAGGGCTTCTACGCGATCCACTCCAAGTACCTGAGGGTCCTACCGAGCTTCCTACTCTCGGCGGGCTTTTTAGTGCTCCTCTCCACCTACCGGAACGCTCAGGACGGCTATCGGGCTCCGGAGGGTTCTTGGGTGATCCACTTCCCGTACCAGAGGGTCTTGGAGGGCTACTCAGTGCTCCGCTACCACTGCCAGGTGATGTACAAGCAGACCGAGCTCGAGGCAGTGATCTAGCTTCGCTGCCAGGACTCCCTGAAGCAGACCGAGTTCGAGGGAGACAGCAGGCAACCCGCGGGGCAACACAAGCTGAACCCACGAATCCGGCCCCGTTGAGAGTCCCAACTACAGCCCTTTATCAGGATCCACAACCACAAGCTCCGCCGGCCTCAGCACCGAATCCCACGAGTACGTCAGGTTTCCTTCGAGGACTGATTGGAGCTGGCCGAGGACGATCTGAAACACCACCGCCTCCAGGGGAGCGGTCACAATCTGAGTCCCCAATGCTGGAAACCATCGCTAAGGGCATGAAGCAGCTACAGGAACTACAAGCCCAGGCTATGTCTAGGACGTCAGCTACGGCAAGTGAGACGGTGAAACCAGGAACCCTAGCGCTGGCAGAGCTTCCGGATGTTCATGGAGGCGCGCAGTCGGCGTTGCTGTTTCAGGATTGGATTGAAGTGTCGTGTTCTGTGATGGCAGATGTTTCAGAGCAGTCTGGAGCGTGGTGGAAGTCTGTAATGCTGCTGGTAGAGAGTGCCTATGTGCGGTGGCTGAATGCCACTCCCTTGGAGCGATTGGCCATCGGTCCAGAGGGAACAGAGGACCTGGTGACCAACAGGTGGACACGCCTCAATGCACGGGTGACTTCAATGTTACTGTCAGCTATGACCTCAGAGCTGAAAGCAGACATGCTGTCGCAGAGGATTAGCCAGAATGCGCCGAAGATGGTTTTCAGGTTGTTTACTTGGTTTCAGCCAGGAGGGTCAGCAGAGCGGCAAGAAGTGTTAAGGAGATTGCAAACACCGCAGGACTATGTGGTGGGCGAGGGAGTTCAGGACGCCCTGAAGGAGATCCGTGGATGGCCGAGGTGGCTTGCAAGATGCTCAAACATGGGAATGGTCCCACCGGACCCTTCGGTTATGGCAAGGGGACTACATAGTGTTTCTCAGAAGCATATCGCTGCCTCACAGGACTCGGCGTTCAGGACGGCGATGTTGCGGACAGCACTTCGTCTGGACGGGCAACCGTCCTTGGAGCAGGTGCGATCGTACCAGCGACACTTGCAGGCCGAGCTTGAGAATTTGGCGGCCGCTCACTCATCGTCTACAACGGCAATTCCTCATGCAAGGGCGGTGGAAGGACCTTCGACGCCAACGTCACCTACTACCGGAAAGGGCGGAGGCAAGCAGAAGGATAAGAGTGGAGAGCTCTGCAGATACTTCGCGAAGGCCTCGGGATGCAAGAGAGGCGATCGTTGTACATACTCGCACAGTATGCAGCTGATGGATCGTGACTTACGTTCCCGCAAGTGTCTGAGATGTGGCAGTGAAGCTCACCGGGCCAAGGACTGCGTTGTGGGCAAGAGTACACCAAAGGGGGCCCCAACAACCCCGCCAGCGAAGCAAGGAGACAAAGGAGGGGGAAGGGATCCTGGTGTGTCCTCGGTGAGCACGGCGTCCTCAACACTCAACGGCGCAGAGGTACCAGTCCAGGGCGTTCAATGGACAATGGAAACCCTTATGCAGGCAGCCCAGCAGGTGATCCAGAACCAAGCCTCAACTTCGCCTTCGGGAGATTCGTCACCTGAGAAGACTAAGCCGCAGCTACGGGTATTGGCTATACGGGACATTAGGGTGTCCTCAATGAACGACACAACCTCGGCACTTCTGGACTCGGGCGCTACGCACTGCCTACGAAGTGCAGTCGATGATCGAGAATGGCAGGAGGCGGAAGAGGTCCTTGTGAAGCTAGCAGCCGATAGGTCGCTGACAATGAGGTTAAGCCCTGGTGGTTCCCTTTTAATGCCTCCAAGGACTCCCAGCGGCACTTCATCTACTACAAGTACGGGAGCTCAAACTATAGTTCCACTTGGAGAACTGGTGAGGACGTTAGGGTACACTCTAACATGGTCGCCGCAGGGATGTAAGTTGCGAGATGAGTTTGGTGTGGAGCGCAACCTGAAGGTCTCGGGTGGATGCCCCCTACTACAAGAAACGGAGGCCCTCGCAATGATCTCGAGGCTCGAAGACAAGAAGAGAGAGATGTTGGAGAACCATACCACGGTGACCATGGATGCGGTGGCTTTGGCGGCGATGAGACTGGAGTTGTCATGGAGGGATCATTTGGAGCAGTACGTCAAGGACGGGTCAATGGAGGCAGGTCTGCGAGCGCTACGGGATGTTCCATTCCTACAGGATATGCCGGGTGAGTGTGTAGATGGCCTGGTTCAAACGGGTCTTCACAAGAAGGGCTGGAAGGTGATGAAGGAGGTGGACTTCCTTACGCGTCCTCAGAAGAGGTATTTGTTTGGAGCGAAGAAATGGATCGTCCATGTATGCGCGGGCAATCCTGGACACTATCAGTTCTTCCAGCTCGATGATGGCCATACTGCTGTGTTGGAGATAGACCTCGACCGCAACCGAGGCCAGGACCTGATGAAGAGCTCTACGTGGCGACTGCTTCTATGGGGGGCGGTCACGGGAAGAATAGACTCTCTCATAGGAGGACCCCCAGGTCGATGTGCTTCCTTCAACCATATCGACAAGTACGGCGACAAGGACCTCAGGAGTTTGACCGTGATTACAAGAATGCTTTGGTTGTACACAGTAGCTACGGCCTCCCGCATGGCATGTTCAGGGGAGGTACAGCAGCAGCATCATGGTCGTCCAGTGGGCTTTGTTTTGGAGCATCCCGCGGAGGAGATCCGAGCTGAGCGGTCCTTGTGGAGAACGCCACTATGGGAGACCTTCCAAGAGGAGATGGGGATGTCCAAGGTTACGTTTGACCAGCAATGCATGGGGGCATCGATGTCGTCCTTAACTACAATGGGAACCAACAACTACTACTTGATGGGACTGGATGGTGTAGGTCGGGATTTGGACCAGCCCACGGACAGCGGGGAACGACACCAATGCAGCGGAGTTTGGTCGCCAGGGCTAGTGAATGCGTTGGTGATGTCCCTGCGTTTTTGGACGAGCCGCCCTAAATGCTACCCGGCGCTGATGGCAATGTCAGCTGAGCAGTGGAGGCAGCATGTTCAGTCGGGGCACGCGAACTACCACAGGGATTGCCTCACATGTGTTACCTCGAGGGGGACTGGAAGACGACATGCTCGGGTACGACACCCGGACTCTTTCACCCTCACCATTGACCTCGCGGGACCGGTGAAGCCTGGACTGGATGCTACCTCGATCGAAAGGGACAATGGGTCGCGGTTTGAAGTACCTCTTTGTGGCCCGCTACGTTTTTCCCAGGGAGTTCGCGAAGGCCTACTCGGGACGGTCGCCCCCTGAAGACAATGGTTTGCGAGATCCACAAGATGCGGAGCGCAACTACGAGGAGGAGGGTGATGGCAAGGAGCTTGCAGGACCTTCTCTACTACCACCACGTGAAGAAGGGGAAGGCGATCAGAACTTAGAAGTTAGTCAGGATGGCGAGGAGCTTGCTAGACCTTCTCAACTACCACCACGTGAAGAAGGGGATCCGTTTAGTTTCGTCGACGATGAGCCAAGTGAGCAGGGTCCAGCACAAGATGACGAAGATGAGCTAAGTGAGCAAGGCCACCAGTCGTCGTATGATGAAGAGGTGGATAAGGACCTCATGGGCTTTGTTGGTGGGTCACAGGAACAAAAGCGCAGCTATGAGGAAGAGGACTTGGACTATGAGCCATCGCTACCTGGAGATGATCCCCCTTGTGAGCTACCAGGTGATCTTCCCAGGAGGAGTGCGCAGGTACCTTTTCCGGATTGCGAGGCACCTGAAATGACACACCTACTGTTTGCCCGTGCTCTACCAAACAATCCCAAAGGCTCCAAAGCATCGTCATGGCCAATACTTTCGTTTTGGGTGAGTGCTGGGCTATTTCTGCCAAGCGGCGTTGCGTCTGGGGTCTAAATGTCGTCTGTGCCAAATGTAGCATCTCTGCAACTTTTGGGAAGAGTCTATTGACGAAAAAGTATGCCATACTACTTAAGAATACCGCCGGCCCTCATCCCTCAATATACATGCTACAATACTTACCATTCCCGACAGAGCTGGAGACGAGAGAGAGCACGAAAGGACACAGACACAAACACACCAAACACATATATTGTACACGAAACACGACTGGCCCACCCACATGCACATACATATATACATGTATATGTATATATATATATATATATACACATATATATATATATACATATGAAACAAAAGCCCTTCCACAAGAAACACCTACACCCACCCACCCACATGTACACACAAACACACATAACACACACCCACACAGACACACACACACACACACATGTATAACAGCACACACACACAACCACACAACACACAGAAACTCACACCCACACCGGTACCTATATACACACCGACACATGTATATACATATATTATACATACATACATATACTGGTCGCTGCTCGTTGCAGCTCAGATTCGCCGCTGGGCATGCATTAAGGCTTTCGGGTATTAGTATAGTGCTTGGGTTTGGGGCTTTAAGGCCGGGTGATGCAAAGTGCCGCTCAAATGCAAGCTTCGGTTCAGAATTATAATTATTGAAAAGCCTTAAAATAAACCCAGCACCCTAAAACCTTCAAGCACCGAAACCCCTAAACCCCAAGACCCCCAACATCCTAAAACCCAAAACCCTAGCAAGGGTTTGCGGGGTTTGGGTCTGCTGCAGCCGATCGCGACATTTCCCCCGCTCTGCGTGCGAACTCCACGTCTTGCGATTAAGGGCCCAGGCCAATAGTCTCGAGCATTACCGTACCGGTACCGTGCAGCGGTGCTTACGTATACTATATACCCCTAGCCTATGGCTTATAGGCCCCGTTTGCAAATAGCAACATCGATCAGCGGCTCAGTCCGTGGAAGTTTGCAGCCTCGGCTGCTTCTCGAAAGCCTGCATCCCTGAATCGAAACCTGCATAATTGAAGCAAGGTGCCATAAATAAAATCGTCGCAACGTGGATCTCTCGAGGCTGCGTGTGTGCACCGAGCTTGCTATGCCTGGGATCCCAGATAGTGCGAGTACTAGGCGGAGCACAGTAGTAGCAAGTAGTAGTGGTACTAGTAGTATATATAGTCGCAGCAGCAGTAGGAGCCGAGGAGGCGGTGGTAGTCGTAGGTAGGTGGCAGTGGTGGTACCATGGGTGGTGGTGGGTGGTGACTAGTGTACTCGTGGTACCGGTACCATACTAGTATGTACTTCTCGTGATAGTGGTACTATAGAGTTGTAAAGTACTACTATATAGCCGTAGCCATATAGTAGTATATAGCATAGGTACTGGTACGGTACGTAGTAGTAAAACGTTAATTAAATGCCAAGCTTCCAACCAGTCGGCCGTTGAAGTCTTCGCTCGCGAACGTGTGGTAATAACGGTAGTTGTACTTCTCCACGGAGCAGAAACGGATGAGCTCGAGGATGCCCTTGGCCCGGGGGTCGTGGCTAGCTACACATGTAATTAGGGTTTTAAGGGATTTATCGCGCTAGGGTGGGCTTGGGCGTTTGCTTACGGATTTTGTCCGAATTCGCGTTGGGGAGCTCGGGATTAATATGGTTTAAAGAAAGCCCTTCGAGAAAACCATTGATGCAAGCGGCATGAAGCTTGGGGCGGATCTGAAACAGCGGCCTTGAGCCAGAGCTATGCATCTTCGCGAGCCAGCCGTAGGCGTTCAGGAACTCATCCTTGAAAGTCCAAGCCCCCCAAATATTTACTATATGTGTACTTAAATAACCCAAGCCTATAGCCATATATATATATATATATATATATATATATATATTCGCTAAATGATAGCTAGGAACCGTGCAGTGCCGCATTCGCTGGATCTCCGCGTCCGTAAGGTATCGGCCGGCCTGCTCGGAGCAGTTCATCAAATCTGCCAGGTAGAACCTCGCTGTCTTGGGAATCTAGGGCCCGGATTTAGTTGAAGGCTTTTATAATTAAGGCTTCTTAATTTAATTAGGGTTCAGGGTTTAGAGCAAGGTTTAGGGCTTGCTGGGTTTCTGAGCAACATGCATTGGCCCATAAGCCGCATTGAGCGATCACCGGCATGTTCATCTTCGTAGAGCAGCATCGTCGTCCGGTGAGCCAGCCAGCTTGTAATAACCCTCGCCTCGATACATATACACGGCATCATGGATGCATATTGTCGTCTATTTGCAGCTAGTGGCGTTATAAGCTTTAGCCGCCATCTCGAGCTCGCCGGCTTTGAACCGGAGGAACTTGGAAGTAAACTTCGGCTGAGAATGCCTGAGATTCTTAAGCTTCCAGTCTGGGTACTTATAATACTGTTCGGAAAATTACTTTATATCAGCAAGGGCTCAGAACCTTTCGCTCCTTACACCACGAACAAAAGTCGCGGTAAGCGTTGGCCAGCATGGCATTCACATCGTCGCCAGCCCAAATCCCCTGCTACATGGTACATATTGTAGACACAGATTACTTAAGGTTTAGGCTTTGGGGTGTAGGCTTTGGGGCTTGGCGGGTGTGGTTTTGGAATTGTGCCTTCTGCATCAGTAGGTCGATGCACCCGGCACCAGCCCACAGCATAATGCCAAGATTTATGGTGTGTAGGGAGCACCAGCGAAGCATCGTGGGCCTCCATCCGAGGATCTCCGGGATGACACCTGCGTGCAAACATTGGTTTTTGCTTCGAGCCTGGACAAGCAATTAAACTAGTTTGTGATTGCGGGCTTCTACGGGGCAATTTATAATTGTAAGATGTAACACTTTCGGATTTCAATCCAGCGGCTCGTCCTTCCACCATCATCCACCAAGCTAGTGCAGGCCTCGGCAAAGTTCTCGGGTGTCCGCCTGGGCATACTTTCCATTGTTGACATTCGAGGGTCATCGAAGAAAGAGTCCAGACGGGCGTGGCAGTGGTGGCAGACGGCGTTGCTGCTCCATCCGATTTTTTTAAACCCGAGCCATTCCTAGGTAGCGACTACAAAACACCCAGAAAGAGAGAGAGAGAGAGAGAGAGAGAGAGAGAGAGAGAGAGAGAGAGAGAGAGAGAGAGAGAGAGAGAGAGAGAGAGAGAGAGAGAGAGAGAGAGAGAGAGAGAGAGAGAGAGAGAGAGAGAGAGAGCGGGAGCGAGAACAACAAAATCGGCTTCGGGGTCTAGGGTCTAGAGCAGATATCATGATGAATCGAAACCGGTTCCGATACAATTCATACCCGCCAAGTCTCTTTGTAAAACTTCCAGTCTGCCCTTAGCTCGGTAAGAGCGGCCAGCGGTGGCTCCATGTCGGGCTCGCAGACCTCTCCTCGGAACAAAATGTTCAAGGAGTCGACCACCTCAGCACAGGAACATATCGTTCAGGTTTCGGTTGGGGGTTGGACGTGCATGCCATCGGAATTTATTTGGGTCCAAGCGACAGGCCTCATAAAGGCCTGAATGGTCGAAAACCCGGTCGACAAAGACTGCCAGGGATGATATCTGACATGTACAAGGCTAGATAGGGTGGGTTTAGCTTATTTAGAGGGTGTTACTATGTCGGGTTTCACACCTCCCTCAGGATCCACAAGGGGAAGTGCGTGGTCATCGAATGCGTCCGCTCATCTAAGACCAGGCCTAGACTCACCTGGGTGAGTTTCTCTTCATTTGTCCATTTCACATCATCGGCATAGAGATAGACTGGCAAATGTTTGCAGTTTCCCCCCTGCTCAGCGAGTGGATGTTCGGGGCCCCATTCCGCGTGCGTGAACATGTGGCTCCAATATTCCCGAATCGCTGCAAAGTCGGGCACAACGAGGTTGTGCTTCAGCAAGTGAGGAATCAATCGATGAGGGAGGACCACCGGTAATTTCCTGAATCCCAACTAGCCACGACCACACTCTTGGTTACGAATGATATTAGGGTACGGTTACTGGGCTTCAGGGTTTATAATCGAGGGTTCGGGGGCCTAGGGGTTAGGGGCTGATTGTTCGGAAGCTTTACACGAGCACAGTCGGCAATCGCCTCATCACCACAGTGGGGTCCGTGGCACTCTTCATCATGGGGACCTCCACCGTATCCATCGGCACCTGGGTTTAGGTTCGGGCTTTAGGGTTTTAACGTTCCAGGGTCGAGGCTTTATTGTTGGGAATCTTCGGCATCTGAGTCGATCGCCATATCCATAGCTCCATCGAGGATTCTCAACGAATCTCGCTGCAGATTCTGCGGATGTTTCCCAGTAGCACCTGCCAGCCGAAGCCTCTGTGCTGTCCGTGGCAAAGTTCCGCCAGCTGCTTGAAGCTCCTGCATCGACGGGGGATATAACGAGTTCGAGGGGATGTTACTAAGTTACACGGAGCCAATCCTTATGGGACTCTTCCAAGAACTGCCTGGCTCCGGCGAAGCTGAGGTCCTGGATTGTCGACAGCTGCGAACGGAATCGAGGCAGGTTTGATCTGGATTGGCTTAGCACCGGACCCCTTTACCAGTGCATCGGAGGATGTGTCGCCCCAGTGGCCCCAGGTCGTCGTTCATAGATTCTGCGACAGGGGGTTGTGCTAGCTAGAGGTGCATGTTTATCGGCTGCCATTCAAAGCATAAGACCTCTAGAGTGCATTTTCGGATCCATGTGCGTTGAGAAAGCTTCCCCGGCACATTCGGGGGTCTGGCATCGAGATGCTTGAAATCTGCTAGCCGCCATGGGCCGTGAGACCCAGGTTCCAGCCCGGGCCCCCAAAATTTGTGTGCACTTCTAACTGGAAAAGAGCACGAGGATCCAAGCTGCTAGTCTGCTTCTAGAACTAGCAAAGCGGCAACTCGAAATCCCGTAAAAGATGCTGCCGAGCTAATAGGACTCTCTGCATGTACCAGCTTATGGGCCCTCTAGCGGCTCTAGCGACTAGCGACCCCGAACTTTGTAAGCTATCAATCTTATCCCGGCAACACCTCAACAGCTCGCCAGTCCACGGCACACCCAGCCAGGCGCTCAGCCTTGATCACTTCTTCTTGCCGCCGCGGCCCTTCGCCTTCGCTTTGGCCTTCGGCCCTGCCTGGGCTTGGGATGGCTCTCGTCAGCAACCCCGAAGCTTCACACCCCAAACCTAAGCCCGAACCCTTAAACCCTGAGCCTAGCCTAGACCCTAGGCCTAAACCTAAAGCCCTATATAGACCTTAAATACAGCCCCTGTAAACCTAGCCAAGGCCTATTGCAAAGACCCTAAATAAAACCTTAAACCTAGCCTATGCCTTATTATCATATATACATATATACATACTTATGATCGAGAGACCCTAACCCTAAACCCAGCCTAAATCCTAAACCACAGGAACCTTTTTGGCAATTCGATGTGGGATTGCATGTACACTACTGAAAACAGCTTGGGCTCAGGAGGCTTGGGCGGCTTTCCTAGCTTATAATATTTGGGCACCTGGATAGCTACTGGTTGCGTGGATTTATAAGGACTTAGAGGTTATGGTTCCCTCGAAGCAATGTCACCCCAAGGTATGCTCGAGGACCAAGTACTGCTACAATGCAATCTGGCGGCCGACATCTTCTTCATCGCATTCGTCGACTGCACATAGTTAGTAATCTTTTGTGTGACCTCGTCCAAAAGCTCCTGAAGCCGATCACCCGAGCCCTTGTCCACCTCAGCCTGCAGCTTGTCCCTGGCTTGCTGAAGGCTCTCTTTGTGGTTCTTGAGATCCGTGAGGAAGCCTTCGCGGATCGGCTGCGACCTGGAATCAAGATTGGACTGGCAGAGGATCTAAATAAGGCTAGGCTTCAGGGCTTATATTAGGGGCATAATATCGAGACCCTAGCGTGAGTTTGTTGATTAAGGTAGGGTTACGTATATATATATATATATATATATATATATATATATATATTTTTTTTTCATATATATATATATAGTATATGTATGTCATATGTGCAGTTTGGGCTCTCGGTTGGGATTTGCGATTAAGGGCTTTAGGTTTTGTGATTGTTGCATCAAGGATACATATCCTTGGCCCCGGCGATCTCCTCCTGCAGCACACTCGACTCCTCTAGCTTTGTGGAAGCCAGGGCAATCTTGTTCTTGCACTGGTTCGTGAGGGCGGTTTTCTTCTTCTTGTCCATGGTTTCCGGTTGGGTTGCCAGGGTCGAGCCTGCCTCCTGATCCCCAAGAGCCAGCGGCAAAGCCATCGAGGACGGCCTGCGTGTGAGGCCGGAGCTGGAACCCGCATTCGAGCCGCCCGGCATTGCAATCTCGAGGCCGTGGGCCATGGTGGTCCTGAGGGGCAATTAATGGCAGTGCAAGCTTAAGGGTTTCGGGGCCCTGAGTTTCAAACCGCAGAAAAACTACATTCTACTATATAGGCACTTTGGATCTTGTGGGTTTGGTGTTTAACTCAGCACAGTGGCATCGCCGCTCGAGTGGCCCCCGCATCGAGCTGCATCTGGTCGGTCTGCAAGGTCGTCGTTTTCGAAGACTTGTCGTTTTTCGTCAAGACCGCCTCCTTGAATGTCCGTACCAACGTCCACTCCTGTCAAGTTTAGGGCTAGAGGGTTGAGGGATATTTAATGTTCAAGACATAACCACATTTTGTTTTGGCAAGCCCCGCCTTACATCCAGGTAAATCAGGGTGTTTCAATATGAAAGGAGGTTCCTGACTATCCTCGGGAAGGGCGTCTTGGAGGGCCATCTTTGAGCGGTAAATCTCCTCTGCATGCTGGTCCCCCTCTTTGGCCCGTAGGTCACACAATCTCATGTAATGCTCCTCGCCTCGCATGATGTGCTCTACGGTAGATTCTGCCTTGCAGCAGATGCTCGAGCTGAGCCAATCGCCACCAGCTTTGAGGTACTCATTGAACATGTCGTCCAGCACTTTAGAGCCTGGGGGCATCATTTCAGAACACTCATGTACATTGATATATGATAGCAAGAATTCTAGAAGTCGTCCACAAGCTTAGCACCGGTGCCGAAAAACCGTAGAACCTAAGTGGTTCACATTAATATTATTGCAAGCTTAGGACCGGTGCCTCGCGTTGCCTTGCTGGCGGCTTTTGCAACCTCCGGTGGGCAGTTCGTGCCTGGGCCATCAGTGGCTTGAACCATGCTTTTGAGCCAGAGTATTTAGGGGTATATTCCGCTTTAGGGTCCCGGGTAGACGGTGAATTGATGATTCATGATCAGATCCACCACACTGGTGAATATTGTGTGATTGATGAAGTTGTTCGGATCTGGTACGGCTATATTTAGACTCTGGGCTTAAGGGGCTTTAGGCGGATGTTAGGGTTTCAGGATTGAAGGCATATATGGGGCTTGAGGCATTCAGAAGTTTAAGGGTTTACGGGTATTGGGGTTTGGGTGAAGAGTCTCTAGGAGTTCTCTAGCGTTGTGACCTTCAGACCATGTAAATACTGAGGCCACCATGAAACAATTAATTAGGGAGTCTCCTTGCGATTATTTTGCGAGCGGGTTAGTGATTTAGCCTGTTTCGTTTGTGATTTCGTAGTGATTTTTTTGCGTTGTATTTGCGATCGTCCACTTGTGTGTCGCAGTGACGGCACTAGATTTGCGAATGTTTTGCGATTCTTTTGCAATCAGTTAGCGATTTTTTAGCGAGCAACTTGTGGGTGTTTGTGAGCCAACCTCTGGTCGTCGCCTTGCGTTCAGGAGCAGTGTTGGAGTAGGTCGAGCAGGGAAGGCAAGTGCACGTCTTGACAAGCCAAACACAAGCAAACGCATCGGCCACAGCGAGGTAGCTTGTAAGTTGTCAAGCGCCGGGCAAAGGACAGCCTGGATGGTGATCGAAGTGTTCTAGCTAGTGAGTGACTCTAGTGAGCGAGTGCTCCCCGACCATGGGTGGACGGGAGCTTGACGAATTGGCGTCGCTGCTGGGAGTGGACGATGTGGGTCGACAAAGTGAACAGTACCGTGAGGCATCAGCATGCCGCTCAACGAGTAGTTCAGAGAAGACCCATCCGAGCCAGGTCGAGACACCCACGTGCTGGTGGTCATCCAGACTCCGAAATCTTACCAACCCAAGTCTTCTTCCCAGCAACCCGAAGCCTTTGAAGGTTCTGTCTGGTTGCAGTGGCATCAGTGCAGAGAGTGAAGTACTGAAGGCAGGGACTCATGAGGTTTAGGTCCGGTTTGGAAAGGGAAGCCAATTTTAGTTTGACACGGAGCTCCCTGCAGGTTCTGGGATTGCAATACTCCATGATGAGTGCATCAGATCCGAACACGAAGTGCCGGGAGTTCGTCAGTGCCAACGGTAGGGGGGCCACCCACTGGTTCTCGACCCTTGCAGACCAGATGGCTGGGAAACCCTGCCAGCTGCATCCCTGGTCAGCCAACGGATGCTGCCCTGCTCCGGAGACTGCTGATCTTAGCGTCATCGGCGCGCCGTGCCATCCATTCAGCACGCACAGAGCAAAGAGGCGCGTGGATGGTTCCGTCGCAAGTCACGCGGAGTACAAGATCATGACCAAGCAAGTCATTGAATGGCTCCAAACCTTCGAGCCGAAGGTGTGCATCCTGGAGCAGGTGCTCGGGTTCGGTCAGGCGGAGGACAGTAGTGACACAGGCAGCCCTTTGCAACGGCTGCTTGTCGTTGTGTATTGAAGTGGTGTGTATGTGTGTGTGTGTGTGTGTGTGTGTGTGCGCGTGCGTGTGCGTACCTTTCTGTGCTAGGCTTCCTCCTCTATGATGCTGTTTGGCCGTTTCTTGCTAAACTACTACAATCCATAGCTTCCGTCATTGAGAGACATCGTAGCTCTGCATGTGGAACGGTTTACCTGACTCCACCTGTGCACGCTGCCAAGATCTGCATGTTCGTTATTGTCTTTTCTCCGAGGTTCGCTCAAGATTTGGGCAGTGCTTCCTTCACGCGTGGTCAAGGGTACCGCATGGTGAAGTTCGAAATCAACATGAACATGTTTGTCCGCGTGAACAGACCCAGGACACCTCGAGTCTATGCCTCCATGCCATGCTTATGCTCTCAGGTTTCTATTTGGACAAAGCAGAGAATCACGGGTTTCCCTTTCTGATTTCTGGGACGCAGGTCTCAGACATCTGGGTATAGGGTTCCATGTCCTGTATCTAGGAGGTCTACGTCTACGCTTCTCTTTCGGGTTCAAGGCTCTGAACCACTCCTCCAAAACCCCTAGACCTTCAACCCATATAAACCCTACAGACGATAGACCCTAGATTGGTTCGATCCCAAGCCCTAAGCCTTAAACCCTGACCCCTAGGCCCTAGACCCCCAAACTGGGTAGGAGAGTTTTGTGGCTTCGAGGTTAAGTACGCTTGTTAAGGTCCGAAAAGGTGTTTGGTCCCAGGTGTAACAAAGACAGACATGTTTGATGTGATCAGCTATGTCAAGCAGCCTTGTCATGAGTGAAAGGCTGTGTTCGTCCACTCAGCGCTTTTGCTTGGAGCTTCCGGGGGAAAGTTTTTCAGTGTCGATGTAGGCATCGTGTTGATGCATGGAGCGACTGCCCGATACTCTAGGCAGGCTACATGTCATCACGACCCTCGCCCCCCAAAGACGATGTCCACACGAGTAAAACCCACCCCCAGCAACATCGATGTCCAGCTAGCAGCTAGCAGCTAGTGCGCTGTCACACATGGGGTCGTCAGATGAGGCTTTGTCGGAGCTCGAAGAATTGGCAGGACTTTGCACTGAGGCTTGTGGTGCCGACGAAAGTGGTGCAGATAGTTTGAGTGAGCTGCTGAGATTGCAAGACCCGGGTGATCCTGAAGTTGATGTCCGTGAGGACGACGGTTTTTCTTTCAAGCCGCAGAGAGATTTAGCTACCCAGCGTGGGCGCCCCCGAGGCAGTGTCTTGCTTCGAGAAGCGCAGGAAGATGCCGGTGCACGGCATTTAGACTTGCAGCCTGTTTCCTTAGCTCCGCATCCTGGATCAGTTGAGTATGCACGGCAAGTTCGGTCCGAGAAGGTTGCGGCCCGGAAGCTTGACACGCAAAGCTTGCAGACAGCAAACGATGGTTCAGCTGTGCCTCTGTTGTCCACGAGTTCCAGCCTGTGGACAGCTTTGCGAAGTGTTGGTTCCCATGTGCACCGCTGCTTGTGCAGCGCAGCGTGGTTCAGTTTCCAGAATCAGCAGAGCGAAGCGAGACAGAACGAGATGGTCACGAAAATGTGTACACCCCACAGAGAGCATAGGTCCAAGACTGTTTTGGCCGTTGACACAAACACAACAGCTCCGACAGTCTCGCGAGAGCTGATACGTGTTACAGCAGCTTTGTTCGAGGGCGGCAACCTTCTCTGGGGCGGTATGGTGCATGCGTTGGCTGCTGCCATACGATCTGGCGGCATGGTTCCTCTCCTTTATGTGAGCAAGCTCATGTTCGACGAGACTCCCACCAGAGTTCGTGTGAGAGCAGACGATGTTGTGCCTTGGTCTGCTGCCAGCACAGACCAATCGGAGCGGGCGAAGGTGATGCAAGCAGCTCATGAAGTTCACATGGTGCTGCAGGACTGCCGCACTGGCAAAACTGCCCATGTGCGAGGCTCAAATCCCGTTTCGCTGCAGGTCATAGACCGCACCACTGCCGAGTGCACCAAAGCATGCTTGATGACGGCAATGGTGGACATACCGGGCCTGCAGGATTGTGCCAACCTCTTTCCTTTCAGAGTGCTCCTGGGCACTCATGACCGGTATGCTGCGAATTCCAAGGCAATGCGTTCTATGGTCTACGACTTCATGGGAGAAGCACCGTACAAGAAATGGGTGGCTGCATCATTCACCTGTGATGTCCACAAGACAGATCAAGTGAGAAGGCACTGTACCCGCATCCTGGAGTATGACGTCAGCTGTATGCTGGCCTCGGCACTCAGTCAGGATGGGCCGGACACAGTTGTGAGACTGCGCCGCATTTTGAACGAGATCCTGCAGTCCAGGTTAGACATCCGGCACAGCCCTCCGCCAGACGGCGACATCAAGGAACATCGCCAGCAGGTGCACGACCTGTATTTGCCCGTGCCCTCAGACGTGCACATGAATCCAAGGTCACGGACACCTGGAACGTTGGTGCGGTTACGACAACGTTTCATCATAATGTCTCTCTTGAACGGCGACCTGCAGAAGAATGCTGTGGTCCATTGGTGCACTTTCGGGTGCTGCAAAAATGAAGATGATACGAGACGCAAAGTGCGAGACTACCTGGTCTGTGCTTTGGTGCCGCACAAGGCGCCGAAGTATGCGCGTTCGCGCTGGTGGCTTGTCTGCAACCTGCCCTCCGCCCTGCCGCATTGTACCCTGAACCTTTACGCCCTGATCCTACTGCTACTGTTACGTTACCGTTTCAATCCCCAAGCAGGTTCTGCAAGGAGTCGTCTTGGCAGATCTTGGCAGTTGCCCGCTAGTTAGTTAGTTAAACTTATTTTAACGCCATCAGCTTCCATCCTGGTCATCCGGACGGAGTCATCCCCACCCCCCTGGTTCTCATAGTCTGTGACTAGTGACGAGTGAAAGCGGTGGAAGTCACGGAATGCTCATGGAGTCATTCGCCTTGCCTTGTGAGGACACACCATCTTCGGTCCACCAGATGGTTTGGTCTGCTTTCTGCGCACCATAACCTAGCAGAAGACCTGCTTGTCCGTTTTGCGGGGGTAGACCAAAAGACTGTGTTTCCAAAGACAAGGCAGGGCGCAGCTGGCACAGATGACCTCGACTTACTGGAGGATCTTGTGGGAGCCGCGAAGCCTGATCTGCTGCAGGCTCTCCCTGTTCCGACTCCTCCAGTGGACGATGAGGACGACTTCCTCGTGGACGAGAAAGATGACGAAGTTCCGCCAGAGGAACGCCGACAGGCTCATGCCTTGCGTGCAGCCAGGTGGGGATGTGCTCAGCCTGGTCCGCGAATTGCAATCCTGCATCAGCTTTTGTCTGCAGTTGCAGAGTTCATGGGCGAGAGTTTACGCTTGAGCTCTGAAGCTTGGGAGGAGGAGCAAGCCAGGAAGCGGCTACAGGGGCAGGGCGGCACTTACCGTGTCGTGGCTGCCTGGGCTGGGGATGCTTTAGAGTCGCTCTTCGTGGATATCTGCTGCCGCTGGAGCGAGCCGCCCAAGGCTTTGCCTAGAGACGCTCAAACCTTTTCGTCGCGGGCGCTGGCGTTCCGCGCCTTGTCGCGGGCGGCTTGCTGTGCACACAGCCTGCTACGGAAGCCCCGCGCAGGCTATCCGTACAAGCTGTTTTCTGCTTTGACAGTGCAGGACCCTGAGGCCAATCCATTTGCCACTGTGGAGCAAGATCCGGCTTGTCTGCATGATGCACTTACGCAGCAGTTCCTGCATCACTTTAGGCCCTCGGACACCGCTGCGAAGAGGAAGCTGGCTGTTCAGTCGCTCGAGGTGTTGGCTGCTTGCATTGATCTGGACATCGCCACTGTGGAGTGCAAGCACGCGTCGGTTCGCCGCACTACACACCAATGTAGTTTGCAGACCTGGCTCTCACGGTTGGAGGATGTCAACGTCGACTGGGTTGCACGCCAGCTGTCGCTGAGGTCAAGCAAGAGTCTGCAAACTCGGGAGGAGGCCAGGAAGGCTGCTGCTCCCAAAAAGAAGACTGCTGCTGAACCGAAACGCAAGCAAGGCGGCGGTGGTGGTGCATACCGAGCCTTCCTGAGCATGCGCCACACTGGTTCTCGCTTCAAAGCTGAGGATGGCCAGAACTATCGCGCCCTGCCACCGACAGACAAGGCTTTTTTTGAGACCATGGGGGCCCGTGGGACGATAGCCTGGCGAAGCGGGCATCGGAGCTTCGGCCCTCGCGCGCCGCATGAGGCGCCTGTGGAGGCTCTGCCAGGCAGTGAGACGGCATCCGGGTCTGTTGTCCTTGCAGGACCCGGTCCGCTCGCGGCAGTGAGTGCTTGCAGCTTTGAAGAAGACTTGCAGAAGATCCGTGTGAAGTTTTTGCAGCAATCCAAGCACATCACCCGTGGTGAACGCGAGCAAGTGAAGCAGTCTCTTCGCAAGGAGATTGCATTGTTAGACGACCAGCAGTTCCAGCTTCTGCCTTCTGTGCCTGCAAGCCAAACTTTCGCAGCAGCGGGCTCCTCCGTGTCTGCCGGGCATGTGCAGCTGACTTGGATGCCACCTTGTGAGGAGTTTGCCAAGGTGCCTTTTTTTTGCATCTCTTCTAGATTCTAGCCGGATTACACTCCGTAGGACGGTTCTTTCTTTAAGAGTTTACGTAAGTCAGTCCACAAGAATCTACAATTCAGGTTCCAGTGCTTGAGGCCAACTAACTTACAGTGTTCAGCTAGCCAGGCCCTACGGCCCTACAGTCCCTATACAGCCTCTCCCCCAAGCGTTGAATGCTTCGCATATCCAGAGAGTCCAGACCTTCCGGGATCTATGCATCACCGAGCCCAGGGCCTAGGGCTTCGGGCCTATAGGCCTATAGACTCTAGACTCTAGACCCTGTACTCACTATCACTAGGACGTAAACTTGAACCCTCTACTGAGTAAGCGTCAACCAGGCTGCGCTAAGCCAAGACAACAAGTCCGCGAAGAAACTGTCGTTGGCACAGACACTCGTGGAGTCGTGGTCGCAGCGGTCTCGTGTGATCCGCCATGCAGAGCAGCAGGTGATTTCATTTTCGGACAGAAGCAAAGTGGCTCGGATGTGGCGCGCGAAGAAATGCTTCCAGCACGGTCGATGTGGCCCGGCTACACACTTTTGCTGCTGCCTCCCCTGTTTGTCCGTCTGACTGTCTGCAAGTCGAATCCATAACAAGCCCTAAAGTTCCCTAAAGACCCGACATCTAAAACTCTGGACCTGTGTATGTTTATGTCTGCATGCGGTGTCCGTGTGCGTGGTGTGTGTGTGGGTGTGTGTGTGTGTGTGTGTATGAGTGTGTGATGCATATATATATATATATATATATATGTGTGTGTGTGTGTGTGCTGCGTGTGCATGCGTGCCTCTCTGTGTGTGTGTGTGTGTGCTGCGTGTGCATGCGTGCCTCTCTCTGTGTGTGTGTGTGTGTGTGTGCGTGTGTGTGCTTGTTGCGCTCGCGGGTTTTGTATGTGTGTGTGTGTGAACGTGTGTGTGTGCGCGTGGGGGTACATATATACAAACATGTATGTATTTACATATATGTATATATATATATACACATGTATACACATGTATATATATATATATGTATATATACATATACATATATATATATATATATATACATGTATATATATATATATATATATATATGTAGACATATACATATACATATGTTACACATATGTATATATATATATATATATGTGTGTGTGCGCGCGCCTCTGCGTGTGTGCATGTGTGCGTCTTTGTTTGTGTGTGTCCGTGTCATCAACTACAGATCAGAACCCCCCCCACTATTAGACCTCCTCGGAGAATCCTATCCGTAGCCGTAGCCCTGAACCCAGATTCCAACCCTGCCCCTACACTCCTTGTTTTGGAGTTAAGGTGTGTGCTCAGACGAGCAGGGAGCTGCGTTGTTGAAGTATGTCAGCAAATTCCGGGCACACATGAAAAGCAATTGCTGGTCCCAGCCATCGGCCAAAGACAAGAAGAAATCAGAAGCGAGGGTGCTGCTGGAGGCATCCATGCTCGTGCTGCGTTTCTCGGTTGCCCTTGCGGACGAGGACTGGAAGCAGTACTGTGAGCGCCGCGAGGGCAAGAGCGATGGAGTGCCCCAGCACTTCTGGCTTCATCCTGGCTACATCAATTTCACGACCTGGCACATGAGTTTCACGCGTCTGCATCTGCGAGATCTCCGCCTGCTCCCGGCGGATCTGCAGGTGGTGGATCTTGCGCACGCATCTGCACACGACGACCCGCAGGTCCTCGATTGGGTTTCGGAGTACGACGTGCGCACCGACGTGGACATGTTTGCATCCCTCATGGACTTCAGCCTTCCCTACGTGATGCGCGGCTACTACATGAATGCCGGCCGGCAGCTCTTGCCTGTGGCAGAGATGAAGTGTGGCTTTGTGCAGGTGGTCCTCTACCCGGACCTCCAAGACAGACTTCTCTGGGGAGGGATGGACGATAAAGGAGAGGACCGCGAACAGCCAGACTCAATGCATCGGCAGAAGCGGCAGCGACAGGACATCCCACGCCGTGGCCCTGGCGTGGATGCTGCTAGCAAATCTGACGACCTTTTCGGTGATGACCAGTACGACTTGTCCAGCTGTGCCCAGCCGGCAGATGATGATCCTGGAAGCAAGAAGAGCGCCCGAGCAACTTTCCCCGCAGAGGCGCAGGCGGCAAAGGGCGTGCAGCCCGACACTTCTGTGGACTCAGACGATGCGCGATGGGACGAAGCAGGGGAAGACGTGGATGAAAACATCTCCTACGAGACATCTTTGGATGGCTCCGACGACCCCGACCGTGCAGGCTTGGATGACGAGGCCATGGCAGCCTTGCTTGCTGACATCTCTCCGGATCTTTCTGGCGGACGTGTGCCAGATGACGCTTCTGCTGCGGAGGCCGTGGAGGAGGCTTCTGCTGCGGAGGCCGTGGAGGCACCGGCAGCCTCTGCAGTGGAAAGCGGCATCCACAGCAGCAGTGGCGGTAGCAGTAGCAGCAGCAGCAGCAGCAGCAATAGCAGTAGCAGTAGCAGCAGATCAGACAGTCCTGTTCCCATCAGTGCTGCGGACAGCGAAGACCTGGCAGATGTCATGCGCAGGCCAGGCACGACGGAGGTACCTTTTCGGGTGCCTGCTCTTGGTGAACTACGCTACAATCACGACGGCTTCCTGCGGGCCCATTGCGCGAAGCACGGGCGCGAATGCAAGCGACAGCGCGCCACACACACCAATCCACGCCGGCCAGGCCAAGGCAGGCCGGTAGGGCTGCTCATGCAATGGCTGGAGGCCCAGCATTCTGTGTCCAGTGCAGAAGAACACAAACGATTGCCAGTGGGGAATTATGAGGAGCGTCGTGCGGCTCGTGAGAGATTCTACCAGATCCCAGGTGGCTCCGACTTTGCCAGACGTTTTGAGTCAGCTGGCGACGATGAGCCTCCCTCTGTGCCTTGATGACGAGACGCTCCTGTGCGAGTTTTTGGTAATGTCGCTGTGGCAGCTGTGAGTTGTGTTGTTGACTGAAGTTTGCAGACAAACGAAATCGTGCGCAGTATCCAAAAAGACGCTCCGCCAGAAGCTCTGTTGCACGGAGTCAGGCACCAAGCCACATAAACCCTGACAAGCCTGTGGGCTTTTGCGCCTCAAGCCAGTATAAACCTGAGCCTGAAGCTTTTCTAAGCCGTGACCCCGAAACCCTGGACCCATGCACAGGCAGCCACAGCCAGCCTTGGAAGCATCTGTATGTTGCTCACTGCCGCAGGATCTACATGTTGCTCTTGCGACGTGACTCCTTCTCCAACACCGATCTGCAGCACATTACGTCGACACTGAAGGACGCCTATAAGGTAGAGTCAAAGTATCCAGGGGCTTCGAAGGTTTGCGAAGTGGGTTGTGTCCGGCGTCTTCTGGTTTCCTGCAAGTGTCTGACCCGCAGGAGTACATGGAGAAGCTTGCAAAGGAACCACCATTGGAATGGGCAGACATCCTTCTGTCCGCCAATGATCCCGAAGTCGTTGCTGTTGGACGCGAGAACGGCGGGGGCCACCGCAGACGGCAGGACTCTGGGGATGGGATGGTCCGCGCAGGGATACAGAAGCAACAGCGCGTGGGTGGGGGTGGGCAGGGAGGAGCTAGTGGCTTTGTTGCTCGCAATTTTCTCACAATTGCGCTCGCTATTTTCTCACTAGTCCTCGGATGCTGGTTCGTCGAATCTCCTTGCTGCATTTCGCTAAGGAATCCAATGGTTTTCCTAGCAAATTCCATAGGAAATACTAGGTCCCTAGCAAAACTAGAGAGATTCCATACTGTGTCTAGGAATTCTGGAGGAGTCCTAGGAAATTAGCGAGAAATTAGTGAGAAATTAGCGAGAAATTAGCGAGAAATTAGCGAGAAATTAGCGAGAAATTAGCGATTTCCCATTGCTCCCAAGCCGTGCTCCCTCGCCCTCCCTCTGCCCTGCCTTGCCCTGCCCTGCCCTGCCCTCCTGCCCAGCCCTGCCCTGCCTTGCCCTGCCCTGCCCTGCCCTGCCCTGCCTTGCCTTGCTGCTGCCCTGCTGCCCCTGCACCCACCCATCCACCCAGCCACCCACCCACCCATGAAATGGTGAAAAAATATGACATGCGTGCGCCCAGCATATTTTTTTTTGGACCCACCCACCCCTGAGAGCGGTCGACCAAGACTTCCAGACAGTTGCTCCTGCTCAAACGTCAGATTTAGTTTATTCATCTTACTAGACATTAAAACCACAATACTCAACCAAACAGAGCTTGCATGCTCGGGCGCACTGTGGGACAAAGCACTTTTACCATGGCTCGCAAGCAGCTTAGCAGCATACCCAGGCGCTCCAAAGTACACCCAATCAGCCTACATTTGCCTGCGTAGACCCAAAACTGACTGCATAGGGGCTGAAAGGGGCTACGTGGGCGAATTTGGCATACATTCCTAGAGGCCTTCCGGGAGTAATTTGTATGGGTCTCCTTAGGATGACAGTCAAGGTGGTGGAGTATCGATTCAATCTTGCTACACATCGATTTTGGTTGTCTCTCCACTGTTTTATTGACGACACCTGTTAAAATTATACAGCAACTCTTCATCCGGACACCTTCGTCGATCTTTTCACTTCATGCAAGCTCCGAGCCTCAAGAGGTAACGCAAAAGCATCTTCTCTTCTAACGCGTTTGCAGACATGTTCTGCGCTAGTTTCTTCCACTGGAGGACACAATCCTCATCGATAAAAGCATGATACGCCCTTGCCGATTCAAGGGTTCGAACCATGTCCTCATTCAGGTGCTTGTATGCCTGGTATTGAAGCGAGTTTTCGCACGAAATAAAGGAACGCTTTTCAAAAAAGGTACATATACTACGTACTTATAAATAATACGAGATGCGTGCACCTTAGGCAACACCTTCCACCTCAAAAGAGAGTGGGAGCTGGCGAACTTGGCGAGGCTTGCGATGTACTTGAGGTATGTATCTCCATGATCAGAAATACTCTGTGCTTCCTCGGGTTGAAGAAATCGTCGGTCAGCTTGCTCTTGCTCGAAGAACCAACAAACAAGCTCTCGGGTTGCAGATGATGCAAGAAGCAATTCTGGATTCGGCTCACGACCGGCAGATTCGTCGAGCTTCAGCTGGTCAAGCAGGCATACATCCAAAAATGCGAGGAATACTCTGGTATTCCAGGCTTTCAAGGTCAAGCAAACGTGCTCCCCCGCTTCCGTTGCGTCGCGCAACATGCCCACAGTGATGATCGGAACCGAATGCCTTCGAATCTTTAGTGCACTAGCCCAACGACTCTCTAGCTAGGTATATTAAACGCTATTTCTTATGTATGACAGGGTGCTCCACCGGTGGCCTTTGCGACCGAGCCCAACGCCTGAAATGCAGACTTGCTTCTCGAAGGCCACTAGACAAGTCGGAGTGGTTCCCCCAGTAGCCTCGCATCAGAAAAACGACCTATCAGTTATCATCACCGAAACAAAAGCATCTATTTAAAATCTATATATATATATATATATAACATTATTATAATAATTAATTAGTAATGTACTGCATGCCTAGTATCGCAAGGAAAGCAGCAGCTCCAGACAGCTACCGGCATGGGTTTGTCCAAATCCCAGATTCACAGTGTGCATCGAACAAAATTTGATTTGAACAGATGGTCGGAATCCGACCAGGGTGATCAATGGGTTCGTGCTGCCGTCGGCCATTACTTTCGATATGATGTTAGCATCACTCCGCCGTTGATGGCAGCGAGAGAGGTCTGTAGCCCATCTTAGGTCAATATAAAGACCCGGAAGCCATCTAAAAAACATACGAGGTAACATATACGGTGAAAAATAACTATTGCCGATCCCGATACCCATCTGATCCGGCTTGCTTTGCAGAGCAAAGGTGACAAACGTTAGCAGCCCTAAAGTGGTAGCTTGCGGTGAATCCCCACGTTTCCTTCAGCCACTTCCAGTCTCCCCGGTGTTCCACGACCACGCAAGTGCGACCTGGTAACTACATGATCACAAGACCACCTAAATTTAAACCTTAAACCGCTAAACCCTAAACTATATTATTATATATATATTTTAAACCTCAAACAGGATCCGATAAGTACGTAGAACGTAGCTATGGATTCCCCTGCGTGCAGCGAGAGCCGCCTCTGTCGATGAGCTGCCCGGCTTTTTTGGCCAGGTTCTTCGGAAGGGGTTCCGAATCCGGTCCAACAGTTGGATGCTTGCCACTGTAGAGAACCTGGGATCATTCAGTCGTTGGATATATATATATATATATTATTAATTAGTTGGCCATTCTGAAACATAAACAATTGCAGTTTAATTGTATGACGGCTAGGAACGTTCAGGCTCCAGGCTAGCACTCTGTAGACTGGGCGTAGTGTCCGGCCACCAGGAAGGCATAGGTGGTCTCGAATCGTAAAGAGCGGGTAGCGGTGCATCTGCTTGCCTCGCATTGCAAGTGCTAGCTGGCTAAGTCCGAGCTCTAGATCCACACAGCCAACCGCAAACTGGGGACCCAAACTTAGACCACCGTTATTGCCAAGCATCCCTGTCGTTCATGCAATATCGCGTTCATTGTGAAGAGAATAAGCTTTTCGTGCTTCTTGTTGTAACGGGCATCGTCGCCCCAAAGTCCAAGTGGTACGGATCGTTCGTCGAAGCCAACCGGAGTCACAGAGGATCTAGATTTCACATGCTGCCAGTACTTCTCCAGCGCTTGGCTGGAGACATCTATCAGCCCGCCATCCTCGGCTGCACAGTAGATCATCGAACCCATAAACATATATCCCCTCCGAAGCTTGTACGTACCTGTACCGAAACAGATTCGAATATTTTATTTTAGATCAGCATCGACCCATGCAGCGTACAACTCATGTGGAAGTACCAGCGGAAACTCCATCACAGTTTCTGTTGCTCGGTCTTCAGGGTTGCGGATGGGGACTTTGACATAGAAGAGTTCCTGAGGATGTGACGAGTACCGGGATATGTTGAGATTATTATACTGTTCGAACTTTAGGGTTTATTAGGGTAATTTGGGCGGGATAAATTTAGTGAAAAACGTGCTTCAAGTCGGCCCAATAGCTAAAGGGAGCTTCAGGGCTCGGAAGATGTCTCTCGAGACGTTCTGGCGATGCCGTCCACAGCTGCCCGCCTTCGCCAGCCTTTTTGTGAGGTCACTTCCGTGGCCTCCGGACTCCGCCAACATAGCTGCTGCTGCCTCTTGGAGAGCACATGCTGTCGATGCCTGGGATGATCGGCTGGAAGGTTGGGGTTTTAAGCTTGCGCACCAGCTACCATTAGATTGCAGCCCAAGCACTCCTGTGCCCAAATTCCGCAGCATAAGGTCTGCAAAGGCCGTATCATCTGCGAGGGGAAGGGATATAGTAATACTGAGATTAGCTAAGTGTAGTATGGTTTTTTATGGCAGGATCGCGATTGAACCGTCTTTCTGCACACTGCCTTCATGCGACCCAGTGATCACTTTGCCTCAGCTACCCATGCTGTCTAGCATGCAGGCTCGCCACATGTACTAGTGCTAGCACATTATTTGCTAGTCCCTATTTAGCCTGCATGCACTCGACAGGTCTCTCCAAAACGAGCGTGGCAAAACACAGGCCGATATATGACAGTTGCACAGCTGCAAAAACTGACCACACAGGGTACGTGCAAGCCAGCTGCAAAACATATAGTCCGATACCGATCGATTGACCACACACGGTACATGTAAGCAAGCTGCAAAACATATAGGCCGATCGATCATGACCACACATGGCACATGCCATCACTTCTTGCCCGGCTTTGCTGCCGCTTTACCTTTAGCCTTAGCATTACCCTTGGGGTTGGCCTTCGGCTTCGGGGCTGTGCAGTGCAATTTCACGTGCTTGCTAGCGGTCTTATACGCCGAGTTCGACGTCGTCAGCTTCTTCAAGCACTCCTCCAGCTTGGCGCCTTCGGCCTGCTGGGCCAGCATCTCCTGCAATAATATAATTAGTAGTATTACCTGTTCTGGCCAATATCGGATTCGACACAATAGCGTCTGCACATCGATTTTGAGCCGGCTTTTAGGGTTGTAAGGTTTAGGTTTTTTGGGTTTCCCGGTGGGGGCTCCGATTAGGCTTTTAAGCTTTTAAGGTTTATAGGGTTTAGGGTCTATTAGGGTTATTAGGGTTTCGGGGTTACTAGCATAGGTGTGTTAACCCTATATCACAGCCTGCACCTCTTCGAGGTGCTGCTTCAGAATCGCGAAATGCGTCTGCATTGTGGCACATAGCGCTTCAATCAATTCCTTGCCCCTCGGATCATCCAAGTACCGAAAACCCCTAGTCAGGAACCGAGGCAGCATTGCAAACGAGCGGCACGTTGTTCTTCTCGAGTTGGGTCTTGTAGCTTTTGATCTCCAGAAGATAGGAGTTGCAAAGGCTGATAGCCTTGGATGCTTTAGGAGGGCATAGGGTTTATATTGAGGTCTTGCTACCAGGACTCAGAGGGATGTGTTTTGGAACCAATATTGCTAGGTAGCATTCTTCGCGAGTTGGACCGTGGTCTTGGCTTTGATGGTTTTCGGGTTCTCCTTATTATGCCTCGTCCTCCCTCCGGACCCGGACTCCGAACCTTGGTCCTGGCCCCCGGTTGCTCCATCGAAGGCGTTGCCGGTGTTGACATTTCCCTCGCGATGGAATTCGAGTTGATACTTCTCCATGAGTTCCTGCGTCTCTGAAGAGTCAACCCAACACTTGTAGAGCCGCATCACCTGCACAGGCACCGGGGCTTATTATAATGATTAGTTGCGGGCTTATAATTTTGGCCCAGGCCTCATTGTTTGGAAAGTCCGGGT